TCCCGTTGCCGGTCCCGGTCCGGTACGGGCGCGACACTGAGGGTTGCGATCCGTTGCCGGACAAAAAAAAAAAAAAAAAAAAAAAAAGCTAAAACGACTTAAAATTATTAGGTACTTTATAGGTACCTAAACATTTTAAGTCAATATACAAAATATTAATTACAAACTAAATAATTTATTAAATAGAAATTCTTCTGAAAGATACTTTGACAGTGCTTTCTGCTTTTAGTTACCATATGTAATCAGAATAAAACTGCCTACTAAACTTTAATTCAAAGTTCATTGTTTTATGTAGGCCTTCCACAATAGGTTATCTGTGAGGTTTTGTTGACAGTGTGTAATGTTAACAAGCACTCAATAAAATAATTATTTCTCTAAACACTGATAAAAACCAATACTTACCTTACTATGAAACACAGTATCATTTAAATCTGATTTAAAAGGTAGTTAAAAATCTAAGGTTATATACATACTAAATGGAGTTTAAAATAATACAGTCCTAAAAAACAACTGGTCTGAAGTCTTCAAAAATGTCATCTCACAAAAAAAAAAAAAAAAAAAACCAAAAGAACTGGATGACAGGACAAATAAATGTAATGTGTGATCTTGACTAGATCCTGAAAACACAGAGGTACAAGGGACAGCTACAAAAGTCAATACTTCAACAACTGCTGAAATATAAGTAAGGACTGTATAGTATTCTGGATAACAGTATTAAACGAAAATGAAATTTCTTGCATGTGGTCAGTATATTATGCTCACTTTGTTTTTAGGATATTCAAATTCTAGTATTTAGGGATTAAATGCTATTAGGAATTAAGCCTGAAACTAACTCTCAAATCATTCAGCCAAAAACACAGAAAAAAGTGTGTGTATGTGTGCGTGTGTGTAGAAATAAAGCAAATATGGCAAAATGTTAGCTGGCGACAGTAAGGGAAAAATATGTGCTGCTTATTATATTTTGCAACTTCCATTTGAATTTTTTTCAAAATTAAATACATTAAAAACAGTAATAATAAATCAAAACAGTAGTTTATCATAATAATTAAAAGTTATGACTATTAATTAACAGAAACCTAGATTCAAATTCTACCTGTATTTCCTTCAATTGCAAGTTGCTTAATTTCTCTTAAACCCTTCTGACATCTGAAGGTAGGAAATAATGTTAGCACCTATTCCTCGCTGAGTCTCTGAAGAAGTATTCCGCTCAACAAAAAAAGTTATGTAATATGCACCAATTACTAATTTTCACAGAATAAAAATGATTTATACCTGTTTGCTATCAGGATAGTGATCATGAAAATCAGATAACGTAGAATAATACAGATAACACAGAAGAGACTAAACTTATCCTATATTGAGTCTGTCAGGTACCCTGAAAAATAACTTCTTTGAAGAATTCTCCAGCTTAAATATGCTTATTTGTCACTGTCCTTATCCCTTCTTTTATTTTCTCTTTATAAGAACAGGGATGTTAACTATAATGATGTATGATACTAACTACAAGTCTGAAAACTAAGCTTTGGTAATTAGAAAAATGTAAATTTAACTAATTATTTGAATATTCTCCCAGAATCAATTACTAGTAAATAGGAATTTGTTAAATATAATATATTGCTGTTATTCAAAACAATTTAAATAATTAGTGCTTCTGGGTATGTTTGATGTTTTAATTCACAACAGGAAAACATATCACTGAATATTCATAATTTAATACCTACTTAACTAGAAATAAATAATCATTCTCAATTTTAAGAACTCTACTAAAGCAGGGAGTGTTAGCTCTGGGAACAAGTACTTCTTGGGGAGGCGTCTATGGTTTACCTTCAAAAGGTCGAGACATTTTATGTAAAATTTTGTGCATATGTGTATTTCTCCAGAGATGACCCAACCTTTTCCTGAGATTTTCAGAAGTATCCATAAGTCAATACAGGTTCAAAACCCACTGTATCAGAGGAATGGCTAAATGTCTGTGGCCTATTCCCATAGTTCAAATATCTTATGAACAATGAGGCCCAATTATTTTCCATAATGACCCATTTTCAAATCTATAATAGAACTGGTAAGAAAAAAATTCAATACATTTTTTAGTCAGAAATCTTTTACCAACTTGTATTTCAAGATTCTGCAAAGTCAGTGTGATAAATGACAGTGTTAAACACATTCTCTGTGATATAGACATAGCCAAAATATTACCAGCCTAAGAAAAGTAAGGAAAAATGATAGCTTCGGTTTATGGAAGAATATTTATCAACATGCTAAGTTTTTCTCTAGATGGTAGAGTTTGTAGGTGACAGATTTTTTTTGTTTGTTTTTCTGTGATGAACATGTGTTAACACTTTAAAGCAGAAAAAGAATATACAAGCTAAAAAAAATTATCGCCCATCCAAAATATTAGTGGAGCATCTTTTTTTTGAAAACACAAGAGTAAAATTTATAACTCACCTTAATAGCTTTGATGGCTGCCTTAGTAATTTGGGTCATTTTCGCTTTAGAAATGGGTGGTTTATAGTCATTCAGGGAATACAACTAATGAAAAAGAAGAAGCAAAACTAATTTTAAATACAGCAAAACTAATTGTCTCCAAACAATTACATGAAATTACCAAACATTTCCATTTTTATATTCTTAATGAAATCAAAGTGCTGCTTTTCTTTTAAAAACCAAGCTCAACGTCATTAGCCATCAGGGAAATGCGAATCAAAACTACAATGAACTATCACTTCACACTCACTTGTTTATTAAAAAATAGATAATAACAAGCGTTAGCAAGGATGTAGAACATTTGAACCCTTATACATTACTGGTGGGAATGTAAAATGGTGCAGCAGCTTTGGAAAACAGTTTAGCAGTTCCTCAAAAAATTAAACATAGTTTCATATGACCCAGCCAATTCTGCTCCTAGGTTTAGACCCAAGACAGCAGAAAACATTTGTTCACATAAAAACTTGTACATGAATGGTCATTGCAGCATAACTCCATAAAAAACCCATTAAAAACTCATTAAAAAGGCAAAAACAATCCAAATGTCCATTAACTGATGAATAAACAAAATGTATTATATCTATTCAATGAAATATTAGCTATAAAAAGGAATGAAATACTGATACTTGCTACAAAATAAATGGACCTTGGAAATTATTATGCTAAGTTAAAGAAACCAGGTGAAAAAAACCACATACTATATGATTCTATTTACATAAAATGTCCAGAAAAGGCAAATCTACTGGTGGTTGTCTAGGGCTGGGGGAATTGACGAGAAATGAGGAATGATACTGAGTACAATGTTTCTTTTTGGGGTGATAAAAATATTCTAAAATTGATTGTGGTGATGGTTACTATAACTTGGTGAACAGAGTCAAAACCATTAATTGGTGGATTTATGGCATGTAAATTGTATCACAATAAAGCTGTTTTTAAAAATCAAAGAATCTAATGTTTAATAATTCCCCCCACCCAAAAAACAACACTTTGTTTTGAAATTTCTCATATAAGCAAAGGGCATAACATACCGTTTAGAGAAAAAACAGTTAAAAGACAACGTGGGGGAGTTTATGCAACAAACAAATAACTAAGCTTAAGTGAATACTGATTAAAACTTCCATTGTATTCACTGATGCTAAGATTTTTAACTATAATGCTATAAGATATTAACTAGAAGTCTGGAAACTAACCTTTGGCCATCAGAACACTGCGAAAACAACTTGAACAGACTTTTAAAGCAACAGAATTTGTTGGTTAACCAACTAGAAATTTAGGGAATCCTCTATAGCTTTTGCTCCAGCACCCCTTAAAACCTATCCATCATAGAATTCTATTCATTTTTATCCCTCACAGGAAGGGCCTTCAAAAAGTTCATGGAAAGATTCATAGTATCTTTCTATTCCATTTCCCCACAATCTTTTTGAAGTACTCTTGTATTCCTGGTATCTGCCCAGATTTCCCCATATTCGTCTCCTCTTCCTCCTCTAATTACCACCATAATCACTGTCCAAATTTCCTTCATCTCTCACCTGGAGAACACCTAAATTATGTGGCATGTTCTCTACATATTTACAGCTATCTTTTCAAAAACCTACCTGATCAGGTGAGTGACACCAACCCACTCCTGTCACACCCTTAAAATGGTCTATCATTTCTCACTCTTTGGATGAACAACAACAAAAAAATGTGTGTATATAAGGCCCTGCCTGGTCTAGCTCCTACTATCTACCTTTCCAGCATCATCTCACACCATGCTCCCAGCCCCTTGCCCCAGGTACTACAGACTTTTTTTTAGTTCCTTGCCACAGGGCCTTTAAAAATGAAGCTTATTCCCTCTGTTTGGAATATTCTCATTAGTTCCAGGGCTTCCTCATTAGTCAATGTGTATTCGCCCATCTTAGTTAAAGCATCATGTAATGAGGAAAGGCTTCCCTACCTCACCAAACAGATCAATACCCCCTTTTTATGCTCTCATTGTACTATCATTCACCTGTAAAGAATTTATTGCAGTATTCTGATATTCACTTGTATGATTATTTAACTAATACTTGATTTAAAACAAGGACTGTCACAAAGGTGACAGTAGTTACTGACACCAAGAGACAGAATGTTAAGTTCCTTTAATGCAATTTAAGTTAGTAAGAGGTTAACTGTAAACCAACTGATGTCAAGCTGAAATCAATCAATCCTGGCAGAAGTACAAACATCCTTCCCCTTCTAGTTCCCAAAGAGGCACCCACCTGTTCACAATACTGCCTGACTAGGATTAGGATTCCATGAGATACTTTCTAAGGACTCTCACACTAAGATCCTTAAGATCTTAAACTAACTCTTATTTAAATGTAAGATTTCCTGTCAAATTCACAGGGAATTTTAATATACTCGTGACCTTTATTCCTACCTGTTTTAGAAAACCTACCTGTATGCCAGTCTACTCACCAGGTGCAAAATAATATCAACAGGGGTCGGGGGGATGGCCAGTTAGTTCAGTTGGTTAGAGCGAGGTGTTGATAACAGGAAGGTCAAGGGTTTGGATCCCCTCACTGGCAGGCTGTCCTCCTCCTCCCCCCACAAAAAACCATCAACACATTCTATAGTGCTTACAGCAAGCCGTGTAAAGGAAAGGCCAATTTCCCAGAATTTCTTAGTAGGCCCATCTGAGATCCACTCCTGCTCTCTCCTACTAAAGAGTAAGCTCTAAGAACAGAAACCCTGTCTTTTTTAGATTTTCCTCTTTTGTTCATATTTCTCTTTGTTGTTTGACAGGGAATAGATATTTGTTAAGAATGATTTAAAATAAACAAATACATACAAGACACAGCACTGTAAAAGCTTTGCACAGAAAAACCTGGATTTGAATTCCAACTATGTCACCTTATTAAAAGTTGTTTAACCATTACCCTCTTGGCACACTGGGCATTACATCACTCTCACAGAAGTTGCTGAACCTCCGAACCTAAGTTTTCTATTTACAGAATAGAAATGGTACTTTTCCACAGAAACATTATATGTAAAGCTTTTACAGCACACTAAAATTGCTCAACAAGGGTTAGCCATTATTAAAATTAAAATCCTTCTCTTTGGTAGGCATTCTCCATTTAAATTAATAACAGCAAAGGATCCATCATCATCATTTACATTAATAGCAAACGAACATTATTCACTTGGCCATTTGAAAGTATATTCTAAAGTTATTTACATTACTAGGGTAATAAAGAGGCATCAGATTTTTTTATGGTTGACAACACATTACTTAACACTTCAATCAAGCAACAGTTAAATTCTAACAAACCGAAGCTGTGCTTACTAGCTTTCTTTTATGGGGGGGTGTGTGTGTGTGAGGAATATAAATTAGACTTCTTAAACATTTTCAGTCTGAAGTCATCTGAGACCCTCCTTTAAAAAAAATGCACCTACTGCAGACATTTAAGGCACTACTCAGAGAAATACCGAGTAATACAGTATATTTCAAAGGCTCATTTATTACATATGCTTCCAACTAACCTTTCTCTAGCTTCTCTAAAATCGTATTTCTGCAATAAATCTGATCATCAGACAACAGACATAGATCATTTTATCTAATTCTTCACTGAATGAATGCCTTAACTAAAATTTAATATTAGGTCCTCAACTTTTAAAGAAGGTTGATAAAATTTTTTCCCTAAAACATTTTACTAATATGTTAAATAATTATTTTCTACCCCAAAAGTCCCTAACTCAAGAATTCACAATTTGTATTCTCAGAAACAGGAGAGTAATTCAGCTAGTGTTTTCTTTTTATGAATGAGGAATGATTTAACATGTTTCTCCCTTCTTAACTCGGCTTCTAGGGATCTTGCTGGTATGTTTATTTTACTAATTTGAACACACATCTCAAATGTCTACTGACATCTATTTCTGTGCTATATTTAACTAGTTTTGTTGTACACAAAAATAAAATGTCTTCTAATGTGCTTAATTTTGCTAACAAACCTGCTTTAAAGTTCTTTTTTAATTGGCTGGAGTACAAATTTACTCAGCATTTATTGAGCTAATGTGAACCTAGCACAAGACTTTAGAAACAGCTTTTCATCATCGTTTCCCTTCTAGTGAGTTTTTCCAAACCTAATTTTTCTATGTAGTCCGCTGTTGCTCAATCCTAAGCATCAAATTCAATTGTCTAGAACCTCCACCAAAGACCATTTGTTGAGAATTTTATGACTGTCAATATAACATTTGGTACTTTAGAAAAAAAAGTGATGAAATGCTGCCAGCTCATTAGAAGCTTTTAATAAATGTCTATCAATAATTCAATGTACAAGAGTATATTTAATCTATCTTTAGATCTACAGGATATGACAGAACAACAAAAATGATAGATCTGCAGGATGACACAATACCTGATATACAGCAAGCATTCAGCAGTAAACCTTCATTATCCAACTGATAACTTAAAGCCGCTATAACATCACTACCAGTAACTATCTAGCTTCATTCCAACCCTCAATTTAATCAGATATGTCAACCCATCATCAAGAATTGGGACTGTTATTCTCTTCGTATTCTCAAAATCTGATCCAGGACAGAGAACACATCATGGTTTTATACTGGAAAATGCTTAAGAAAATGGAAGTTGACTCTGGGACCTTTCTTTTCCTTTGCCTGACAATTCCCATCTTTATGCTGGGGTCAGAAGACCACAGCTGCATGTTCTCTAGGCTTGGGCTCTCCAGCTACCCTGTTTTCTCATGTATAGGTTTTAATCTCACCACTCTACTTTTTGGGATTTGACTCCCTGATGATGTGTTTTCCAAAGTCTTAAGTGGCTGTTGATTCCAGTTAATCTGTCCCATCAAGCGATTCCTCAGTTAAGACTATTTTACCTTTTCTAGGGGCTACTGGTGCCTGCCATGCTATTGCTCAGACTCTGAACTCTGCTTCCCAAATCTAAGCTTCTTTCACTCATATGCCGCGTTCTAGTATATTTAACGTCAGGCAACAAAACCATTTCTTACACAAACATTCTATGTCCATCTGTCCTCAGTGACAGAAATAAAGTCTTAGTCTTGACTGG